TTCCAAACCCAAATTTTTACACATACATTTTTTCATTAAATGTATAGCCCTAAATAATATTTTAGCCATCTACTGCCGGCTCAAAAATCATATCCTGTGAAACTCTGATCATCTCCTAATCATAGTTGAAGATCGACTCTGTGGCTCTAAGATCTTTGTGGCTCTAAGTTACTTTGATCTATGTTACTAAGATCTTTGTGAGTATAGGTTACTGCTGGGCTTTTGAAGTCTTTGACACAGGGACCCCCAGCCAGGTTGCTGACCCATCTCTTAGGCACAGAAGCACCCTTTCCACATCACCCCGCCCTAAAGCATTGTCTTTCCCTCTGGTACTTCTGGGACTTACCCTTTGGCAAGTCACATATCCTCATGCAAACATGTCAGTGTGGACCAGAGAAAGCTGCTTGCCTGTGACTCCCCTTCATGGTCACATCTTATCCTTCTGAAACCCTTTGAACTCCCTATCGTTCTTCCAGTCTTTGAATATCTGTTTGATTTGGAAATATTTGATTCTCTTATATTCCTGCTAAAAGTATATGTGAAAATATTAAAGCAAGGGTTTTTACAATAAGTGAGCCAGTCACAATGCTTCATCTGTCCGCGTGTATGTTTTTATTTTTGACAATGTTCAGGCATGATGTGACGTACATCGTGTAAAATCTGAGAATCATTCATGATCTAGCATAACCACCTTTATGGAATGCCATTCAATGACATGCTCGTTCAAGATCAGAAAAACACTTAATTTACATACCACATAATAGAGTGGTCTATACATACGTTATTATCTTAAAATATGTAAAGCTAGATGTTTCTATGAAGTGTTTATCATGCATTCAGTTTTCTGTACCATGAATGCTATTATTTAAATTAAACAATAGTAAGAACAAGAATAGGTACATGGCCATCACTAGTAACTAATACTGGAACTGGTTATATAATCTTATGTGTAGAAAAACCATGATTACTAATAATCTATTCTCTCCTGATGGGTTTCTAGTTACCAAAAAAATTGGGAAGATAATACTGAGTATCCACATACATCAGACTGTTTTCTCACTATTGATGTCATAATGGTTGGTACATGATCACAATCAATATATCAAAGAGATATGGTAGTATGAAGTAAAGTTTATATTTGTATTCAGATTGCTTAGGTTTTAACCTCTCCTGGCCCAGACTCATCCCAGCTGCCACATGACAGTCATCCTGTCTCCTTAGGCTCCACTTGGCCATGACAATTTTTAGATTTTTCCATATTTTTCATAAGGTGCAAAGTTTTGAGGGTACGTTGGTACAATGTATTTTGTAGAATGATCCTTGGCTGGGATATGCCTAACGTTTGTTCAAATGCTTAAGCCAGAACTATTGTGTTTTGGAGCAGAAGATCCAGAGGCATAGTGCCATCCATAATTATCACTTCACATAAAGATTGTTTACTCTGAATATTGCGGGCTTTTTTTTGTTTCATACAAATTTTAGGACTGTTGTCGTTCTGTGAAAACTGCTGTCAGTAATTTGATGGAAATTCCATTAATTCTGTCAATTGCTTTGGGAAGTATAGACATTTTCACTATATTTGTACTTCTGATCCATGAGTGTGGAATTTCCTTCCACTTCTTTGTGTCATCTTGAATTTCTTTCATCACTGTTTTATACTTTTCTGAGTATAGGTCGCTCACCACTTTGGTTAGATTTATTCATAGATATCTTGTTTTTGGCATATGACTGTAAATGGGACTGTTTTCTTAATGTCTCTTTCTACTGCTTCCGTATTGTCTACAAATGCAACAGATTTCTGTACAATGATTTTGTATCCTGTGACATTGCTGAATTCATTTATCAGTTCTAAGAGTTATTGGGTGGACTCTTTAGGGTTTTCTATATATAGTGTCATGTAATCTGCAAATCGTTTCATTTCGTTTGTCTGCTGGATGTGGCTAGGACTTCCAGTAATTTGTTTACTAAAAGTGGTATGAGTAAACATCCCTGTCTTCTTCCTGACCTTACAGGAAAAGCTCTCAGATTTTCCCCATTAAGGTTGATTATAACTGCAGGGTTTTTATAGTTAACCTTTATGACGTTAATGTATGTTTCCTGTAAACCTACTTTAGGGGGTTACATGCATGAAAGGATGTTGTACTTTGCAAATGTTCCTTTCTGCATGTATTGAAATGACTGTATGGTTCTTTTCTTTTAACGTTTATTAATTTTGAGAGAGGCAGAGCGTGAGCAGGGGAGGGGCAGAGAGAGAGGGAGACATAGAATTCGAAGGAGGCTCTTGGATCTGAGCTTTCAGCACAGAGTCTGACGCGGGACATGAACTCAGGAATCACGAAGTCATGACCCGAGCTGATTTCAGACTGTTAAAGGATGAGCCACCCAGATGCCCCGATCATCTGGTTCTTATCTTTTCTCCTGTTGATGTAGTGTATCACATTGACTGATTTGCGAATATTGAACCACCTTTGTAGCTTGGGAATAAATCCCACTCAATTGTGGGATATATTTACAGTTGTTAGATCTTCTTTGTGGATTGTACCATTTACTGTTATAGACTGTCCTCCTCTGTCTCTTGTAATGTACTTTTTTAAGTGTATTTTTTTCTGATACAAGTATTGTTACTCCAGCTTTCTTTTGACATTCATTTGTGTGATGTTTCTCTATCCTCACTATCATTCTTGAGGTGTAAAGTGGGTCACTTGTAGGCATCTGTTTTAGTTTTTCATCCATTCTTACTCCCTACCTCTCTAGATTGGAGCATTCACTCCATTTCCCTCAAAATTGATTGCTATGTCTATATGTATTGCCATTTTATTGCCTGTTTTGTTGTGGTTTCTAATGATTTTCTCTGATCCTTTCTTGCTTTTCTTTCATGTATTGCTTATTTTCTTTAGTGATATATTTTGATTTCCTTATCTCTATTTTTAGCATATGTATGACTGGTTTTAGGATATGGCTACTGTTAGGTGTTTATAGAACCTCTTCTGCATTTAGCAGTTTGTATTAAGTTGATGGTCATTTACCTTGGAACCCATTACTTTCTCCTCCCTAGGTTTTTGGCAGATGTTATTATATTTCCAATCTATTTCTCTGAGTACTGTAACTGATTTTTTTCCAGAAATGTTCATTTTTTACTTGAATTTGTCTTCTACCTCTATACTGTCACTGTTGGTCTCCCCTTTCCACTCAAAGAATCCCTCTTCATATTTCTTGCAGCACTGGTTTAGTGGTACAAACTCCTTTAGGTTTTGTTTGGGAAAGTCTGTGTCTCCTTCATCCTGAAAGACAGCCTTGCTGAATAGAGTATTCTTGGCCGCTGATGTTTCCATTCGGCACTTTGAATATGTGATGTCACTCACTTCTGGCTTGCCAAGTTTCTGTTCAGAAATATGTAGCTAGCCTTATGGGTCTTCCCTTCTAAGTTAAGGACTGTTTTGCTGCTTTTACGAGTTTTCTTTATTCTCACCCTAATTTGTAAGTTTGCTTACAAAAGTTTGTGTGTTGGCCTGATTTTTATGGGAGTTCTGTAGTCTCCTGGATGTGGATGTTTGTGTCCCTCCCCCAATTAGGGAAGTTTTCAGCTATTGTTTCCTCAAATAAATTTTCTTCCCCATTTTCTCTTCCTTCTGGACTCCTACAATACGAATACTATTATCTTTCCTGTAGTCACTGAGTTCCCTTAGTCTCATCTCACGTTGCAGAATTCTGTTCTCTCTCTTTGGCTCAATGTGATTCATTTCCATCACTCAGTCTTCGAGGTCACTAGTTTGTTGGGCTGCTTCTTCCATCCCTCTGTTCATTCCAGCAAGCATGTTTCTCCTTGATTGTGTCCTCAGTGTCTAACTGTGTTCTATCTTAACTCTGTCAGGGGTCTCACTCTTCTACTCATTCCACAACTCCAGTGAGTATCCTTATGATCATTGCTTTAAATTCTGTATCAGGTATGTTACTTCTATCTCTTTGGCTTAGATCTCTGGCTGTGGCTTTGACTAGGTCTTTCATTGTGGATACACATCTCTGTGTGTGCATTGTGTCTGTGTCTCTGGCTCTATTCCTCTGCGTTAAGAAAGTCAGCTGTGCCTTCTGCTCTTGATATTAATGCCGTTATGAAAAAGAGGTCCTGGGGTCCTCAGCAGTGCATGGCTCCATTTATAGGCCCTGGACCTTCAGGAGGATATCGTATGGGAATTGCTCCCTCCCTGCTGTTGTGTCTGGGTTACTTTTCCTTTCAGTGCAGGGGTCTGCACTGATTGCGTGTCTGTTGTGGGCTCTGCTTGCTCTCAGTGGTGTCAGTGGGACCCAGGCAGGCCAGCTGAGTCAAGAATCAGCTTGAATACATGTGTCTCCTGTGGCCTAAGCGTTGTGTGAAATGCCATGTTTACGTTGCCTCTCTACACAGGCAGGGACCTGGCTATCACTCATCCTTCTGGATCACCCGGTGCTGAGTCAGCTGACCTCCAAAGCACCAGGATGTAAACTCAAGGGAATTCAGCCCCTCTGGGTTTTCATGCCAAATGTTATGGAGATTAGTCTTCCCTGTGTCAGCTCCCTCGTGTGAGGGCTCACTTTCTCTGCTCCTTCTGCAGGCAGCCAGCCTCCACCTTTCTGACCTTTCTAACCTTCCTGCTGCAGCTTCTATTTAGGTGTGGCGTTTGTTGTGCCAGTCTTGGATCCCTCTCTGGTTCATGGACTTGGATGTGGATGTTATGCAGTTGAACACATGGGACAGGGTGAGCACAGGGTCCTCCTCCTCTGCTATTATTAATTTTTTAAGTGTATTATTTTGGATTTTTGAGACATGGGCAGACAGACTCATCTCACCCGTGCACTTCAGGATTAGAAAGGAACGTTCCCACGTTTGCTTCTAGTATTTTGTGCTTTGAAACTCTCTTTAATGAGGTATAATTTACATATAACAAAGAGCCTCAAATGAAAGGGTATAATTTGATGAGACTTGTTCTCATGGATACAGCACCATGGAGTCATAGGGTTGCTCTCTAAACCTTAATCATGATCCCTTTGTGTCTAGCGCTAATGTTGCTTTTGGAGTAAGGACTTTTTTTTTTTTTTTACGTTTTCAGCTATCGGCCAGGTGGCTGAAGGCCTGCACTTGGGTACCTACCTCCTTTTCGGATAGACTGTATTCCCGTAAGTATTGCCGTCAATCTACCTTTGGACTTTATCCTGTGTTGTATCTTTCAGTGTGTTCACTTAATTTTCTTGCAGTACTTTAATGCTGAGGGATGCGTAATTGGATTGATTTTCACTAAATGGTACGAGCTGCAGTTCCAATTATGACAGAAAGCACGTGCTTCCTGTGTTAGGTACTCAAGAGCAAGGCAGATACCGTGGACACTTGAGCTGAGTATGTCACTCGGTGTTTTGCCAGCCCTCTTCCCTTCCCTGGGAGCCAAGGGTCTCGTTTTGGTCACACAGAAATGTAGGTGAAGTCAGCAGAGAAGGGTCCCCTCTCTTCTCTTCCATTTGTCTTTCAGGCTCCCTGTCCCTTTCCCTGACTCAATCCCCCAGGCCCACTGCTCCAGTCCCGCCATGATCAGGGTGTCCTCCAGCTGCTGGCCTCTGCTCTAGCCATCGCTCAGTGAGGAAACTACAGGAGGATTATGTAGTTCAGGGGTCTGATCAAGAAATCTCTGCTCCTCAGAGCCCTCCTACACGTGGTGCTGTCTGTGGGGACCTGGGCGTGGGTCTGACCCTCACTCCTCTCGACAGTCACTGCTGGTCCCTCATCCTTCTCCACCATTAGATCTCAGCCATTCCCTAAGGACAGGTACCTGTCTGATCCCAAGGCACCATGGAGTCAGGGAGTATTTCCAAAATAATTGAGCATAAGCACCCCATCAATCTAGATATAGGGAGTTCCCATCGCCCTGGAAAACTCCCTCTGGCTCCCCTGCACACAGGGTGATCTTGCTTCTATCCTCCCTCATTTGTGTAGAGGAACCCGCCTGTGTGCACTCAATGGGGAGCGAGAGTAGATGGCCCTAGAAGCAGACGCTGACACAGAGACAAAACGATGAAAGGTAGATTAGGGGACAGTAGGAAGGACAAAGTGGAGGGGACAGGATGGGCAGGGAGAGCATTCAGGTAGATCTGACACCTTCTTAAAATGTATATACAAACACGATTGTCTGTCACCGTGCACAGTCCTCTTCACTGTCAAAAGAGTTGTCCTATAAGGCAAAGAGAGTTTGGTTTATTTCCCTGTGGTCTTATGTTTTCCTACATGCATTCTGTCTTCTGTAGTTTCTCTGTGGCCTCAGATGAACACTGTAGTGTGTGGCTGCATCTGTGAGATTATGTGTAATAGAAAATGATTGTCCTCAGATCTAGGCCTCTGAATGTACACATTCCCATAATTATCTTTTCTTTCATTGTGTGACAGGGCCCGAATTCTAATAGAAAAACGAGGGACATTGTCTTATATTTTAAAACAGTGATTCCCACTCCCTGGGCTGAGTTGTTAACAGTCTTAGTTTCATGAACTCCCATGACCATCTTTTTGGGAGGATCATTGTGTGGAGAGATTTTCATGGGGGGACCCTTCCCAGAGATTTTGCAGACGCTTTCTGCACTGAATGTCTTCTTTTTCTCTTGTTCTTAGAAACAAATATTACCCCTGTTTTCACAGATAACACAGCTGTCATAATATTGTGAGAGAAGTTTGAGGAGATGCAAAGCTGTAGTCAGGGTGATGACAGGGGTCCAGCAGTGGTGTCATCTGGCCAGCCCTGAATCGTAGGATGACTCAGCTGATCTAGACCCTGTCTCCACTTTTAGTCTCTTGAGGGATATGAACTTGGGCATACAGCATTTTCATAAGACCAAGTTAAATACCCCATATATCCAGGGCTCTTTCCCCCCCACAAATATAGGAAAATCCAGGGAGACGAGACTCTTTTTAGGTGATGACCTGCGTGCACTGAGAGAGATCCCACATAGCATTTCCGTATGGACCTCACACTCCCTGCTCAGGCTGTGGCCGGAATGACCTCCAACTGCATCTCCCTGACCCCAACACCCTCCCCTCTGCACCTCCTCAAACTCTGCTTACTGTGCTCGACTTCCCTTCTATTCCTGTATGATTCAAGGCTCCCCCGGTTTTGCCCTGGATCCTCACTGGTGATCACAAGTAATGAGTGTCCCTCTTTCACACAGGACACCTGATGCTCTAAAAGTTAGGGGTGCACTTCATTCATTACAGACCCCAACACATTGTGTCTCCCACATACCCACCAATACTGCTGATACGTCTACTTTTGTGTAAAAACTCCTCTTTCACTTGACAAGAGAAACGTATAGCTCACTGTATTACAGGGACATGCCACTGCCCATTGTATGTATGTCCTGAGAAACTTGAGATATGCTACAGTGTCCTCAGGCAGTTTGTAGTTGGACTGCCAGGACTCACAACTGTCTCTACATCATTGCCACAAAGTCAATCATGAAGAAGATGAATATACTTTACCAGCCACTCAGCCAGTTCAGGTCCTCTTAACAAATAGAGTAGATGGAGGAGGGGGATGTGGCCTATAGCCCATGACTGGTGGTGAAGGGTGGTCCGCTTGGTACAGCCTGCAAGGCAATCCTGGGAAAGGACCAGGACTCTTGCATACAAAATAGCCTGCGGAAAAGCAATGAGAGGTGTGTTCATAGGACAGAAGAGAGCACCAACACCAGCCAAAAGCGGAAACCCAAAGCAGCAGTGCTCATATCCTACTAGCTTCCCCACCACCAGGTTCCAAGAGGGCAGCATCAGCGCCAAAAATCTCTTCCCATACTTTGGGTTCCACTTACAGCTTTGAGGTGAAGAATGGATGTGATTGGGATAAACTAGTGTCCCCACGTGTCTGGAAACGTAGAAACAGCAAGGGCCCTTTTCCTAGAAGATTTATAGGCTGAAGACTAAATTAACAAAGTAGCATATTCCAGATAGGAAAGCAACTATGTCCAGGATCACACTCCACCCTTCATCCCCTCCACCCCAGAGGCTGTTTATTGTGTCTGTGAAGAACTACAGAATGAGAAGGAATGACAATCCCAGTGTCCACACATGGAATCATACCCTCGTGGCTCAGAGCTCTGCCTCTAAGCCCCTGCCTGTGCCCAAACTACTTCTGTCCCGACAATGGGCTCTCCTCCTCTCTGGAAGTGCTATCCATGGACACAAAGACACATGGGGAGATGGGGATCCTGAGGGCCTGCAGAGGACCTGGGAAAGCGTGCTCTTAGAGAAACAGGTAACCTATACATGTTAGTTGGGTTCAGCTAAGTTATTTCACTTCGGAGGTACTTCTCAGCTTAAGTGCAGTACACTTTGCAGGGTAATTGTGTCCTCTGGAAAAATGAGCTGAAATTCTAAAAGACAAAATTAGCACAAATGCACTTTGATGTCTGGTGTAAGTTTCCATGTTTTAGCTGTACCTGTGACACAGGACACGAGAGAACGTGCTCATGTGAACACAAGTGAAGGACACCGGGGGGACTTGCCACACAGGTAATTTTGGATTTTTTCTCTTCACAACTTAAGTTTCCATGCATGTTTTCTATCATAGTTCAGAGTGTTTGTGCCCAGGGCACACCTGAAGGGATTCTGGACAGCATGTTTACCAAAATGCTGATGGGTATGAAATTTACATTCTAAAGGACACATACAAAAATATAAGTTGGAGTGAAGGCAGTTCGCATTTTCGTATTGTAACGATACCCACAGATTTTTGTGAGCACATTAAAATCCTCAATAGAAGGAAACAGGAGAGGAAGACACAGCAAGAGCAAAGATTCCACATGGAGGAGATCCACAAAGAATGAGGCAAGGTAGGAAACTTCCAAGTGGAGTGTGGTGTCATCTTCCTTGATTTCTTAAAGGAACACATTAGAAAAGCCCTATGGTCCCCACCTTTAGGCACTCTTAGCTGCTCAAGTTAGAGAAGCCCGTAGACTCGGCAGTAAAGGTTTTGCATTTGGGGAAAAAACAAAAAACCAAAAACAGCAGACAGACCATACGACACACAAAAACAGAGACAAGGGCAGGAGAGTGTCCTGTACAGAAAGATGTGGCTGGCTGTAGAGACTTAGAACTGAAAATGGCCACAGCATTTACTTTGTGCTTCTTGGCAGTTTTGGCAGAGCCAGTGTCGATGTCACTCTTGGTTGTGATACCTACTTCTGGATCTGCAAAAAGCCCCAGAAGGGATGCAGGTTTATGCTGATTTGAGTAGACTATTTGGAGGTCAAAAACAAAACAAAAAACCCTCCCCTCAAACTTCCGACAACGTAAACTCTTTGTCACAGTGAGATCCCAAATTACATGCACAGGGTGTCCCACATGCCTCCGGTGATCCCAAAAAGAACTTGAAGAAGACTCCTAAAAGCCCTGACTCAGATGTATTCATCACTCATCGAACAACTATGGATGGCTGGGGGCACAACTAGATGGACGTACGTTACATTGTGCCTCATGCCTCACAGATGCCAGCACGTGGACTGTGTACAGGGCATTTCTGCTGAAGCGCTATGTCTGCTTTTCTGCATACGGCCCCATTCCTTCTCTACAAGAGACGCCTGTACCAACCCATGGTGGGGGAAAAGACGAAGATGAGATCCTGAGAAACTTGAGGAATGTGGTAATGGCAGCGGACACATTCCCCTTGCATCACAATGGTCTGTGGTACCGCCTCTGCACCTTGGCCCAAGACCTAACACTAACAAAATAAGGTGAGTGTGTTTTACAAGTCAACTCCTAGTGCTCAGATCGTCTTACCAAGTGTTTCAGGTGGAGGGATTCCGGGTAGCCTCAGGGCCACTAAGGTTCATGAGCCTAATAGCCCATGGGGGCGGGGTGTCTCCAGGGTAGGGCATGCAGAATCGTCCAGTTAACGGAGGAGGTCCCCAGGATCCAGACTGCCCTGCAGAACAGAAGTGACAGCTACATCCCTATGCCAGACAAGAGCACCAATACCAAAAGCAGCTGTAACCCAGAGAAGAAGGTGTCAGCACCTGCCAGGTGGATCCACCAGGATCCAAGAGAGTAGCATCAGTACCTGAAAACTCGGTCCCTGCCACTGGATAGCACCTACAGCTTGAGGTAGTAGATGCAAGAGGTTAACCTACTGCCACCACACATCACTGCCCACGTCTGTGGAAGAAAATGGCAAGGGTCCTGTCCTAGAGGGTTAACAGAAGTAATTACAGACTAATGAAGTAGCATTCTCCAGACAGGCAGCCATCGATGTCCGGGTTCACCCTGCATCCCTCCTCTACAGCGACTCCAGATGCTCTGCTTTTGCTATATTAAGAACACAAAAAAATGAGTGGGAATACACGGCTCATATTCTGCTCATGGAATCACAGCCACTCCTGGCAAAATATGCTGCAGCCGGACCCTCACTGTGCCTCCTCTGCTCTTCTCCCTGAGAAAGGAGTCTTCCCTCTTGAAGTGTTGTCAAAGGCCTCAGAGACCTCTGGGGAGTGGAGGATGCCTGGAATCTTGCAGGGGAAGGAGAGTCTTCTGTGAAGAATGAGTTACTTGTGGTGAATGTCTACAAAGCTCAGATGTGTTCATCTTAATTCATAGGGAATTCTGACTTTAAGCATACTACAGGACACAGAGTCATTATGTGCAATGGAAAAAAAGAGGGAGAAATTCCCATAACAGATTTCATGCAAGAGTTTTGGTATAAAACTGGTATGTGTCATGAGACTCTATCAGCTCTAACAAACAGTGACTGGGGACACCACCAGAAACTGCTCATAGAAACACAACTGAAGGACACAGTGTTCAAAATATTTTTACCTAAGGTATAGCTGGAGGATTCCAGGCAAGTCATTTACCAACAAAGACGGAAAGGTGATGAGTGATGATATTGGCTTTCTCTAGGACCGCTCTAAATGGCACAGGGCACATCATAGAAAGTTGGAGTCATGATGTTGTTTCTAACAGGTTCATCTCCTAGCCAGAATCAAGAAAGGAAGACACAGCAGCCACACTGTTCCCACAGAGGTGAGGTCTGGAAGGGATCACCCAGGCCGGGGGACCTCGGTTTGGAGTGCGCAGTCATCCTCTTCTCATTATTTCCTGAAACTCACAGAAAAACCTTAAGGTACTCAGTCTCTAAGCGCTTTTGGCTTCTAAACTTACCACAGAAAGCTGACAGACTAAAAATGGAGAAGCCTGCATTTGGAAAAGAAAGAACAAACAGACATATCACACAACATGCAAAACGAGACAAGGCCGGGAGACCATACTGTACATAAAGATGAGGGTTTCCCAAAAGAGTGACAACTGAGAATGGCCCCGGCATTTACCTTGCCCTTGTCTGCATTCTTGGTACAGTCAGAGCCACTGTAACCCACAGAGGTTTCAGCAGTTTCTCGATCTACTAAAGACCCTAGAAGGGACAGAGGTTTATTCTGCTTTTAGAGGACTGTGTGGAATCAAAACAATCCCTCCACTCATTCCTCAAATATCTTAAACTTTTCCCTACAGTCAGGTCCCTGGCCAGAGGCAGAGGGTATCCCACATGCCTCAGGTGACCCCCAAGGATAAGGGGGAGAACCGTCCCCTCACCTTGATAAAGACCTCACGGTGCCCTAGTTCATGTTGTTTCATAATTAATCACATCACTGTGGACAGGTCAGGCGCAACTAGCAATTTAGAATTCACCAGTAAAACAGTTTTCTCAGTATACATCATGGGAAATCACGATTGCATTACAGATCAGGAATTCGTCTGAGGATGCTTGGATTCAGCATCCGACTCTTAATTTTGGCTCAGGTCACGATCTCACAACTTGTGCATTCAAGCCCAGCGTTGGGTTCCTCACTGATGGTGTGACGCCTGCTTGGCGCTCTGTCTATGCGTCTCTCAAAATAAACTTAACAAAAAAGAATACCATTGAGAACACTGGTTTGGGGTATATCCTCAATGAGTCCTCAAGAAGGGTGCATTTCTTCAGGCAAATTGTTCAATCTCCCAGCTTATCTACAAGCTGCCTTCCACAGCAGTTATTAGATAAGGAAAGACTAATTTGACGCTATTGAGAAAAGGAAAACTGCGAGAAGTTAGCAGTGAAGCTGCAGAGTTGCACTGATACCATCAGAGGACTAGGCTAAGCTTTATGGAACTTGAATGGCGGGATGTAGGGCTACAGTTCCCAAAACAAACAAAAAGAAAGACTTTTCAAACTAGTGAATAAATGACCTTCTCCTCAAATAAACTAAAGTCTTCACATTGTAAATGGGTGGGAAGAAAGTTTCCAGGCTCTTCAGACAGGGGGATGCTAGAGGAGGTGGGAGGGTCACCATCAGAGGAGGGGCATGAGCTCCACCAGTCACAGGGACAAGTGCCTCACTGTCTGTGGCACCAGAGGAAAACACTCTTCTGTCACCCCTTCAGACCACCTGCCGTCCTTAGTGCATGTGATTCTTTCCAGACCACACGATGATCACACACAGGAACAGGCTGCACAGCAGAAATTGGGCTGCGGCACATCACAACGTGCTCCTTACCTCTCCTTGAAGGGTTCTTGCAGTGACTGGTTTCTGCCTCGTGTATCCCTCAGGCAGCCTCTTTGGTTCCATTCCGTCCAGTCTTGGATACAGAAAAATAATGGACTTCTATAAGAGTTGCAACACCACGTCGTCTACTAGAGAACAAACAGTGCAGGCGTCATCCCTGGAAACACCCATAAAAACGCAAGTCAAATGACCACACCTGTATTTCAAGTAAGTGACCTCCCTGCCCTGCTCCACCATCTCCCTGTCCCAGATCTGAGTCT